GAAAAAATATTTTAAGCCCCATTGCAAGGAGTCCTACTAATAGCTTGCAAAAATCTTCATCTAATAGGCCTCTAAAAAATGCTCCCAACCTCCTACCCATTCATTATGATCACAGCTGATCATCAAATTCAATATCCTAATCATACCCCATGCATCACCCCCCACTTATCCATTGTTCCTTTTAGCCACAAGAGTTATATCTACCCTCTTCTGGAAAACACAAAGTTTTGGCCTCAACTTTCTGCAGTAGTGAAATCCACAGGCTGACCACTCTCTTGGTGAAGAAATTTCTCCTCATCTCAGCCCTAAAAGGTTTACCCCTTATCCTTAAACTGTGATCCTTCGTTTTGGACTCCCTCACCATCAGGATCATCCTTCCAGCATCTAACTTGTCTGGTTCTGTTAGAATTTAATAGGTTCCAAAAGATTCCTCCTCATTCTTCTAAACTCCAGTGAATACAGTCATAACTGACTCGATCTTTTCTCATATGTAAGTCCTGCCATCCCAGGAATCAGTTTAGGAAACTTTCACTGCACTCCCTCTATAACAAGAGCATTCTTCCTCAGATAAGGAGACCAAAACTGCGCACAATATTCTAGGTGTGGCCTCACCAATGCCCCATTTAATTGCAGCAAAACATCCCTGTTCCTGTACTCAAATCCTCCCACTGTGAATGCCAACATACAGTTTGCCTTCTTTACTGCTGCACCTGCATGCTCACACTGTATTCTGATTGTGGAAAATAAACACTAGTTTCCAATGTTTAATTTCTTCCTCTCTTCAGTTTTGAGTAGACATTTGAGCTCTGGACATGAGAGTTGATGACACTAAAGTAAGACCAAATCACCTTTAGATTCTGGAGTAAGACCAAATCACCGTTAGATTCTGATTTATCATTGACACTGTTTTGACTTTCTTAGAGGAACTCTTTTCACTATCTGAGAACATAATTCTACTAAATTAACTATTACATTTTGATTTGATTATACTGGAATTAAACTTTGAACAGTGTTGATGAAATTTATGTTTTTCATGTTCCAGCTAATTTGTTTTATACACAACTTTTGAAGTCTTTTAATTACAGAGAAAGTTGCTAAAAGAGGTGCGGGGTCCCTCCAATGCTAACATGGAGTAGTTCATGAGGACTTTCAGTGCCACTTGATATGGGTCAGGTGCTGGTGGCATTTCTTAAAGACTTGCCAGCCTTCATTCAGTACAACACCTTGTATATTACAAATGATGCAACAGCACTCCAGGATTCATTCAAGCCGAAGGCTGATCATTGTAAAATCCAGCTACCCAAGATACTGACCATTGTGCAATCCAGAAGAAGGTTTGTGGTTGACTGAGAGAGTCAAAGAGACGACTAGGAGGATGGAGGAAGCATGCCTTAGGGAAGATATTGTGTGGCCCCATGGTTCAGGGGTGTCCCCCCCGCAATGTTCTCCTCTATGCTTAAGTGGGGGAGGTATAAACTTCTCTTCCAGAGGAACAGCAAGAAAAAACACTTGCATCTGCCTATGGTATCCTGGATGGGGCTAGTGGAGAATATGGATCACTCCCCAATTCTGAATGCAGAGCTGCAAAAAGGTTGGTGTCCAACATACTTCTCTCCCCTTTGAGCAGGTAACAAGTAGAGTGGATAAAGGGGAACCAGAAGGTCTAGTGCATTTCTTTTTCCTCAATGCTCAATGGCAATTCCAGACTGCCAGAGCTTGACCAGGTGTATTTCTGGGGTTCAAGGTTGGCACTGGTATCCCTGGCACAACAGCCACAAACCACACGGCACGTAGATGGCATGTCTGACACTTCCTTGCACGTGGATCTGGACATTCCTACAACTATTGCTACAAAAACACTGCCAGACCACACAGCTTATATTCCTTAGCCACATCCTATTTTATAACCCTCTAAGTCACTGCTACTTTTTCCTCAATGCACATTGTAGCCCAGCATCTTATTATTGTTCGATTTTGGACATTATTTCAAAATATTCACCTTTATTTGCAAAACCGAAAAACTACAGAAATCAAGCAAACAGAAATTGTATGTACCTCTCGAATAACAAAGAAACAACTTGCACGTAGAGCACAAATAATTTTTGAATCAGTGAATGATCACTGCAACCAGTTGTCAACCACTGGAACTGGGTGTCAATTAAATCCTGTCTGGCTTGTAACCTGACTCTGCTGCAATGTATTATGTACAAGATGATGTTCCTCCTTCTCAATATCCTCATCCTCTTCCTCAGAAAACTGCTCTTGCTTTTGCTGTCTATCAGCATCTATGACATGTCCTTTTTGCCTGCTCCAGTTGCATAGAGCACAATATGCCAGGATTATGCGACACATTATAGTCTGGTCCATTAGCCCTATTAGTCTGGTCCAAGCAGCAGAACCCCATCTTCAGCAGACCTATCAACTTCAAACACCAGTGTGCATACATAATTTGGGTGCCAGTTGAGAGAGAGTTATAAAGTGTGATGACAAGTCTTCATTATTCAGTCATTTTAATGGCATCATGCTTGCAGAAGTGCGTTTGAAGGAGGTTTCTTGAACCTCCCTTGAATGTCTCCCATATCCCAAGCCTCTAATTCAAAGGGACACATTCTAATGTTCCTCCTACAGTGCCCCTCCTTCACGTCCTTCTAATTGGATAAGCAATGACAGTCAATAGTGTCCTCCTGGTACAAAGCCTCCCCATCTGCATGCTAGATTGTACAAAGCACAGCAGGCAATCATGATATGAGAGATCCTGATTGGGAAATACTGAAGATTTCAGCACATCGATCTAGAAAGTTAAGCCTCAGCTTCAGCAGCTCAATGGCAAGCTCAATGGTTGGCCAGGTCGGCAAGTGACAGATACAGGACCTTTCATCTGCTTCATCCAAGTGTTTCTCACAGACACAAGTAGCCAAGGCTTCATCAAGTAGATATTATCACTATTGACCCATCACTGTAAGTGAATGGGGTGGTAGGTGGGGTATAGATTGGAACTGTTCTGACACTATCTGCTTTTTGTGGGCATCGCGGTTGCTTCCAGGACCCAGGCACACATCTAAAGGAGCCACTTTCATTGATGGACACTGGTTGGAATGAAAGTCCTTCCTGTTACTGGTTTGGTCGAGCATTAATGATCACTCGGTGCTGTCAATGACCTTGTACTTTGAGGAATTTAGCAATAGTCCCAAAGCTGCTAGATCCATCTGACTGATCTCTTGAGCAAGGCATTGATCACCTCCTGATATTTAGAAACCTGCAATTTAGAAATCTGCTTTCTGATGTAACTCACCTTTTTCCTGAGCTGTTGTGGGCAAAGGTGTCTCTCACTTCTATTTTCTGCATCTTGTTTCCTTTGAACTGTCCAATGGCACTAATTTAGTACATAACTTATGTCAAAATTATGAGGTCATCTGTCAAAGGTCACACTGTGTCAATAGATATTGGGGATAGAGTTGAGACCACAATGAGATTTTCCAATGGTATCGCAGGCTCAAGGGACTGAATGGTCTACTCCAGCTTCTAATGCACATATTCAGTCTCAAGTGACCAAAAGTTCATAACCAAATTATGTATAAAGAAGACCAAAGTCCAGAGATTTGCTGTTCCTTTTAAAAGTAGAAGAAACTTCCTTAAGAGGAGCAAAGTAACAGTGCATTGCAAAAATGTCTGACGTGCTCACTTTGAGGAGGGTGATGATGAAATGGTAATGGCACTGCATTAGTAATCTACCACCAGGCTCAGATCTGAAGAAGGGTCATACCGGACTCGAAATGTTAACTCTGTTCCTCCCTCCACAGAAAATGCCAAACCCGTTGAGTTTCTCTAGCATTCTCTGTGTCTGTTTAAGGTCTCCAGTGTCCACAGTATTTTTCTTTTAGCCCAAGGTAATATTCTGGGGACATGGGATTGAACCATGGCACATGATGAAATTTGAATTCAATAAAAATCTGGAATAAGAAACTAGCTTAATGGTGACCTTGTAAATGTTGTCAAATATCATAACAACTTATCTTGTTCACCAATATCCTCTTGGAAAGGACCATCTTTCATTCTGAAATTAAACTGGAATAATCATTTAAATACTGTGGCTACGAGAGCAGGTCAGAGAGTAGAAATCTTGCAACATGTAACTCACTCCATACACCCCAAAGGCTGTCCACCATCTAAGAGATACAAATCAATGGGGTTATGAACCACTTCCTATTTGTCTGGATGAGTGCAGCTCCAACAGCGCTCGAGAAATTTGACACCATCCAGGATAAAACAGCCTATTTGATTTGCATGATATCCACAAATATCACTCCTCCACCACCAATGTTCAGCAGCAGCAGTATGTACTATCTACAAATTGTGCCACAGAAGTTCACCAAAGTCCCTTAGACAGCTTCTTCCAAATCTGTGATCAATATCATTTAGAAGGACAAGAGAATTAGACACATGGGAATATCACCACCTGTAGGTACCTCTCCAAGTCACTCATCATCCTGACGTGGAAATATATTCCATTCCCTCACTGCCGCTGGGTCAAGATCTTGGAACTCCCTTAATAACAGAACTATAGGTGTACCTACACTAAATGGATTACAGAAGGTAGCTCATCACCACATTCAAGGATAATTAGTGATGGGCATAAGGTGCTCTCTCAGCTAGTGAAACCCATACCTCCTGAATGAATTAAAGCAAAATTCTTATCTGGTCTAGCCTACATGCGAATCTAAGTCACAACAATGTGATTGACTCTCACTGCCCCCTGAAAAATTAGGGATGTGCTATAAATGCTGGCCTATCCAGTGACATGCAAATCCTATGAACAAATAAATAAAAATAACTCCAATCAGAGAGCTATCAATACCTTTAGGCTTATTTAACTCCTTCTTTCAAATTGGGGGTATGATTTAACTTGCTTGAATTCATTCTCTTCCTTTCAATACTCAGTTTTCAGGCATGCTCCAAAATGGCAATGTTAGTGTACTAATTTGAATTCTTAATCTTTTTAGGAACCTTTTAAAGATATTATTCCTTGGTCAGGGATTATCCATGTTATTGTGCGGAACTGCAATCAGCAGTCAATATTTGGCAGATGACTTTGCTGTGAACACCCCAGTACTTCAGAGTTTTATCAACTACCTCCTATTGTGCCTGGTTTACGTGGGAATATTGGCATTCAGACAGGGTATGTGGTGAACAAAAACAAGGATCTGTTTGAAATACTTAGAATTAGCTGAATAAACAGAATAACATGAACACAACTGTGGCCAAAACTGAAATGCTAACTTGATTTTACTTTGAATTAGGTAATGACAATTTATTACAAATACTGAAGACAAAGTGGTGGAAGTATCTCCTGCTGGGATTAATTGATGTTGAAGCAAATTACTTGGTAGTCAAAGCTTACCAGTATACCACATTAACAAGTGTTCAGGTATGTGCTTAATCTTATGCACCTGATTAAGACAGTTATATCCTATATTTTCCAATGAGTAGATGGGAAGAATTTAGCAAATAACTAATTCTTACTCTTAACTTTGTAAGTTCTGTTCTAATTTTGAATTCAGGTCTGGTACGGTTTGATTAGTCACAACATCCATTTGCACCTCACCCAGCTGGACAACATTTTGGTTTGACTCAAGGCAGCAGGAGGTTTCACTGGTGAAAGACGTCATAACTGGGAACGTAAGACTTAGGAGCAGCTGTAGGCATTTGGTCCTTCAAACCTACACTGCCATTGAGCAAGAACATGGCTGATTTAGTTATAGTGTCAACTCCACTTTCCTGTCTGTCCTCATTACCCTTGCCAAACTCCTTGCCAAACAAGCGTCTATCCGCTTCAGCATTGAATATATTCAATATCCATAACCTCAATTCCTTTCTGGGGAAGAGAATTCCACATACTAATAATATACAGAGAAAAAGAAACATCCTCAACTCTGTCTTAAATGGGAAATGTCTTATTCTTAAGCAATGGTCCTGGTCCCAGTCTCCCCTATAAGAGGAAATATGCCATGAGTATCCCCCGCTCAGGTGCCCCTAAGACTGTACATGTTTCAGACCAACTCATTATTCTAAATTCCAATGGATATGATATTCAAAAGATAGGCCCTTCATCCTAGAAATGAGTTGTGTGAACCTTCTCAGAACTGCTTCTAATGCAAATATCATCTTTAAAATAAGGAAACTTAAACTTTACACAGTACTCCAGACAAGGTTTCACCAATATTGCATGGGCATCCCATGCCAGCTCACTTCACTGATAGATTTGGTTCTCAGGATGAAAGTTGCTGTCACCATCCTATTTAAGTGTAGGAAACCACAGGGTCTGCTTGGTTTAGTATGGTCTACAGGAAAACTATTTTCTGGTCTAACTAGAAGTGTCTCTTGTAGTTAACAAGACAGTTTATTGCATAGTAGCAACTAGTTGCAATGATACGATAGACATTGGTGCAGAGACTTTGAGGAGGACCACATGTTAGATCTCACTCCATTGAGATCTTAAGCTGATTTGTCCAAGAGTGAAAATGACATCATAATAGGTAGCGCTTATGGCAATCCTTGGTATGAACCATTTCAGACCCTTATGCAATGTCTCCCACAAGCTTTTCTGCTCATTATTAATATTAAACATTTGTGTATATAATTACTTTTACTGTCCCACCTCCCTAATCCCTGTATTTTACTTTAAAGTTCTGGTGATTTGGTAGCACCACCATTCCCTGGAATACATTCCCTTCAGAATTGGAAGACTTGTAGTTTGCTGGGTGGAAAACCATTGTCCTTGATTCCCTTTCTAACAGTCTGAGGTCTGTAGGTGCCTGTAAACTAGAGGACCTTTGTTCTCCTGGATTTCGTAGAAGACATTTTCCTGCACAAAGAGGCAACTTCTTCCTCACAATATTTTGAATCACTGAGCATTGGTTGTTCATTCCCAGTGATGACTTCTATGGAGTTGTACGAATGACACCTTCAAGCTGTGTCAGCTGGTTTTTAATTTTATTCTCAATCCACCCGTAGATTTGTGCTGAAGTATACGAACATTTTATTTCAACACATTGATTGGTTTGGCCGTTCTCATTTGATGTCAATAATGGTATTATTGGTGACACCAACATGTTCACTTCCTTAGTTCTGCTACTTGAAGATTGTTTTTGGCTTAGCATGATCTCTGTCAAACTCACTGAGGATTCTTCCTGTGAGGATTAGGAAGACAAAATATTTTGCTTGATCTTGTCTCTTCAGCGTCACCTCAGACATCTCATACCAGACTTATAAGGAGAGAATTTACACTTGCTTCTGACACCAGTCTCCTTTAAACTAGCCTAAAAGCTTTTAATCTTTGGGATTTCTAAACTAAAATCAATCCTTGATTATTTTTGACTGAAAACAAGCTAATGGCCTTCAATGTCATAAATCACTGCAGTATAAACAATTTACCAGTAACACCACAGAGGTCTATAGCCATTTGCTTGCTGAGCAATGCCAGATCTGGCCACAGTCCTACAAGGACTACCTTACTTTGTCTTGTTTTAAGAGAAAACTCTCCAGAAAAGTAACCAATTCCGATATGCCACTGCTTTGAGATCCAAGTTCCAAAAATTATCTATAATATATGGGAGATATATGTATATATATACGATTATTAGACAACAATCAAATGTGGGAGATCTGATGTAGTTTTTTTGTCCTCTTCTATTTTGGTAATGCTGAGTATTAGAATATTACCCTGGATGAGATCAGCAAATGCATTCCTGAGCGGGGATTGTCTCTGTAATTTTTCTCCGCTGTGTTTCTGTACCATATTGTGCACACACTGATAAATTAAACCAATAGCTAGAATCATGGAAGGCATATAGCCCAGAAGAAAGCTGTGCAGCCCAAATCTGCTAAAGCAAATTGTCCAGTCACACCCCACAGCCTTTTTCCTACACTCCTGTGAAGCTTTCCTCTTCAGGTAGTTATCCAGTTCCTTTTGAAAATCATGATTGAATCTGCCTCCCCAACAATCTCAGACAGTGCTTGTCAGGTCCTAACCTTTCACTGCATTAAAAACAATGTTTTTTCTCTCATGTGGCTGTTGTTTCTTTCGCCATTCACCTTACACCATGTCCTCTGCTTCCTGATCCTGCAAATGGAAAAAAGTTTCCCCCATATGGGATCTGTTCCTAATAGTTTCAGTAGCTCCATCCAAACTCCTCAACCTTCACTTCTTTGAGGAGAACAGCTCAGCTTCTCCAATCTACCCGTGTAACTGAAGTCCCTGGAACCATTTTCTTAAATCTTTCTGCATCCTCTCTAATGGTTCCTAAAATGTGACACCCAGAATTAGAAGTAAAACTTCAGTTGATGTCAAACCATTGTTTTTTAAAAGGTTCATCATAACTTCCTTGCTTCTATATTGTGCACATATTTATAAACTCAGGATGCTGTATGCCTTTTAAAATGCTTGCTCAACTTGCCATGCCAACTTTAACTATTTGTGCATATATACCCTCTCATCTCCCAGTTTCTCTGCTCCTATGATTCCTTTCAAGTTGAATCCTTTCTTTTTATATTGCCTCTCCTTTTCCTTGCTACCAAAATGTATCTCTTCAAACATCTCTGCATTAAATTCAATTTGCCTCCACCTGTCTGCCCATTCAACCTGTCTATGGTATCCATCACTAGCTTTCTCACAGTTCACAATACTTCCTTTTTTTGTCAACAGTCAATTTTGATATGCTGCCATTGTTAAACATTAATATACATCAGAAAAAAAGCCAGGCTCCTTGCACTGATCTCTGCTGAACTACACTGTAAACATTTCACCAGTATGAAAAACAACATTCACCACTATTCATTGTCACCCAGCCAACTTTGTATTCACACTGACATTACCCTTTTTATTCCATTCAGCTTCAACTTTTCTGGCAACTCTATTATGTGACAGTTTATTGAATACCTTTTCAAAGTCTATCAACTGCATTACTCCTCATCAACCCTCTCTACCTCATTAAAAATCTAATTCAAGATAGTTAAATTTGATTTGCCTTTAATCCTTGCTCGTGCTGGCTTGCCTTGATCAGTCCATTCTTATCCAAGTGTCTGTTAATTTTTTTCTTGGATTATTATTTCAAAATTAGTTCTGACCACGAAGATAGTTTATTCCTATAACCTTTTTGAACAATGATGTAATATTTTCAATTCTTCAGTGCTCTGGCAACCTTCCAGTATCTATGGAGAATTATGGAAAATTATAGGCAGTACCTCAGCAATTTCATCTCTTACTTCCCTCAGGACCTTTAGATGCATCTCAATGATCTATCAACTTTAAGTCTAGCCAGTTTTACTAACAATCCCTCTTTATCAACTTTAGTTTGTCCAGTGTCTCTTTCACTATGAATTCAGCAACATCTTGTTTCCTGATAAAGATAGACATAAAGCACTCATTTAGAAGCAAGATAGAACAGTACAGCACAAGAACAGGCCCTTTGGCCCAACATGTCTTAGTTCCTCAACTATGTCTGTTACCTGCATGTAAGGATCTCCTTCTGGCCCCAAGCATTCTCTTATTCTTTTTTAATATTTATATGCCAAAAGAAGACTTTTAGATTCTCTTTTATATAAGCTGCCAGCCTTTTTTCATTCTTTCCTCGCTTCTTGTATTAACATTTCTCCATTTCTCCTTTGAACCTTCTGTAGTCAACCTCGTCCTCACGCATTATCAACTTGACCATGGTCACATGTGTCCTTTTTCTCTGCTTCATTTCATTCTTTCATTATTCAAAGAGGTCTGGTTTTGCTTGCCTTAACTTTCACCCTCATGGAAATATATTTTAATTGCACTCAAACCATCTCTTCTTTAACGCAGCCTACTATTCTGTTACAGTTTGCTTGCCAATCTTTGATTGTAGTTTGCCTGGGCCAGATCTATTCTCACCCCATTGAAATTGACCCTCTTCCAATTCGATATCTTTGCTTTAGAACATTCCTTGGCCCTTTTCTTCCCACATCTGCTATATATTTATATACAGATACATGGGAGGCAATGGTATACATTTATAGGTAGGTCAATGGGAAGATGATGGCCTAGTGGTATTATTGCTGGACTGTTAATCCAGATGACCCAGGTAATGTTCTGGTAACCTGGGTTCAAATCCAACCAGGGCAGATGGTGGAATCTGAATTCAATAAAAAACCTGGAATTAAGAGACTAATGATGACCATGACTTTATTGTCAGGAAAAACCCACCTGGTTCACTTATGTCCTTTGGGGAGAGGAAACTGCCATCCTTACTTGCTCTGGCCTACATGTGACTCCAGACCCACAGCAATGTAATTGACTCTTAACTGCCCTCTGAGCAAATAGGCATAGGTAATAAAGATTAGCCTAGCCAGTGATGCCCACATCCCTTGAGTGAATCATAAAAAAAAGTAGATTTTATGTATCAATTGCTTATGAAGCCAAGCCTCTGTAATTTGAGCTATCTATGCATTCAACTGCATATATTTTCTGGCTGAAGTCCTGGATCCAGACCCATTACTCTACTTTTATGTTTATTCTTTATTTGCTGCTTTTCTCCAAGAGCTCCAAATCCTTCTCTCTATCAAAAAATCTCCTTTCATTTGTCAACTCTCAGGTTCTATCTTTCCTATTCCCTACACCAACCCTTCAAAACTCAACATTCCTGTTGTCTTCTCACTGTTCTGTGTTGGACACCCCTTGGATAAACCTATGCCTTCCTTTCGGGACTTTCTCAGAATCCCCTGAAGGGTACATCAAGGCACTTTAGAGGTTAATTGCGAGCAGCAACATTAATTGTCTTATTCTACATTCTCATCAATCTTCTTGCCCTATGCACTAGCTAGAGGATAGATTTTCTTCCTATTCAATCCCTCCCACAGCTGATCTTGGGGACAGCATATCTCCCTCCAAAATGTCCATTCGTCCGTGTCTTTGACAATCACTCGCTAATGAGTAAGATTGCCCACCTTGGAAATTCCGTGTCACTAGTCATAGGTTCCATGGGTCATCGCATAGCTGCTGAGCCTGATCCTCAAACCACACATTTGACAGGTGTTTTCAGGAGGTGGATGTTGTGTAAGGCCTGGAAATAGTTGGCATTCCTTTCTCTGGTTCCGTTTCTGTACTTGCTCTTGCCGACAGGTGTTCTCGAAGAATTGAGTCCCTTCATACAAGAGCTTCCTCCAAGTTGGTTACTTTTCTTGTAGGAAGCCTTCAAGAGGGCTTTGAATCACTTCCCTTGCCCTCCTCTTGTTGGAGTGCCTTCCTTGAGCTGGGTGAAGCAGATTTGATTTGGTAGTCAAACTCAGGAACCCCTAAGCACATGGGCAATCCAGTGGAGTTGGTTTCGGATATTCGTGGCCTTGATGCCAGTGCTTTTGGCTGCTTCAAGAATGTCAGAAATGACAGTAATTGTCCTGAGCCTCATGTTCCTACACCATTGGAAAGCCAAAACCAGCAAATGATTCTCACCAGAAAAATGGCTTATGTTGGCCATAAACCAGATGAATTTGATGGAAAACTGGTAAACATGCAACTCACAGGAAAAGGTTACCTGCAACAAAGATTAAAGCATGTTTAGTTTCTACACTGTTCTTTGAATTTGAATGATAGAGATTATGAAACAAGATGAAGAAATGTTGTACCTTCCAATTTGTGTAATCAATATTTCTTGCCATTGGTTTATACATAATTTTAATCTGACTCAATAAGTACTTGAAAGAATAAATGGGTAAAACAGATTAAAATACACTGGCCAGAAATTCAGCAGTGCCTACTTTTGAATGCCTACTTTAACAGTCATACTTGCATTGGGAAGTGCTAGGAGCTGGGGTTTTGAGCTTTGGTAGTTGTTACAATGTCAAATGTGCAGTGGTGGGAGTCTGCATAAGTTCAGGTCAATGTTCACTTATATGATTGGGTAAGATCGCCCACATCTGATGGTGGAATGTCCGGAACTCAAATGCACTGGGGTAGGGTGACGATACTAAGAGGTCAGAATAGAATGACCTATGGTATTGCAGCATTGTTGGGGACCTTGGAGTGTGCTCAGGTGTGGGGACAGTTCAGGGGTATGCAGTATTGTTAAGGAGTTGGGAGCTTTATTAGAAGGGTTTGGAGGTTCGGGCTGTGTGAAGTTGATCAGAGTGGGGAGAGAGGCTTGAGGATGGAGTTATGCGTAATGCCTGAGATCTTGGGACTGGGAACCAGGGTCGTTAAGGTAAGTGCTAACCTTCCTTTCATTTGATGCTGCTTAGCACTGGTTTTCTTGAGGCAACCACTGGTGCTAGCTGCCTCAGGCAGAAAACCTTTTTGGAATAGGAAGCAGAAGCGGGAGGTTAGGAACTTTGTTCGTATATTTTCGTGTTAGCCTCTGATATGGGTACAGGATGCTTCTGTTAGACCTTTATCAAAACTTGATTCAGTGCATCCCACACTAAAATTGTGAGTGCATTGAATGTAATTTTGGACACAAACCAGGGTCTCTAGTCCTCAAAACATGGCGCTACAGAACTGAATTTCTAGTCTACTCATACTGTAGGTAAATATAAATGAATTACATGTTGAGATGTGTTTGTTGTACATTTTCAGTTCCTAGACTGTTTTGTCATTCCTGTGGTGATGCTTCTATCATGGTTTATCTTGCGATCAAGATACAAAATCATCCACTTTGTGGCTGTTTTAATGTGCTTGTTGGGCGTTGGAATTATGGTTGGTGCGGATGTCCTAGCATCAAAACAACAAGGATCAGGTAAGACTTGGTGCTGGGGACCTGACTGGATTTGGAATTGTATGAAATGTTTTTAACACTCAGAGTCTTCAGAGTGTTGCATGAGCTTTAGCAAAGCATAGACAGAGAAAAGGACATTCAGCACAGAAACAATGTATAATGTACTTGATCATGAACTCTATTGAATTTAGTTACTCTCCTAAGGAAACTGACACATTTTATTGCTAAACTCCAGCATGTCCACATTATTTTAACCTAGGGTAATTGCTGTCCGGCAGCTTTGGAGGAGTATTCACATATAATGATACGTAGGAAAAGACTGTCCCATCAATCAAACGGGTCTCACACAATTATGATACCCTGCCAAAACAACAAATGAACTCCAGACCATTCAAAAACAGATTAAAAGCTCAGGTCAATTTGGTAGAAGAAAATACTGGAAAATTCCTCTCAGACCAATCCAGGTGATCAAAATTTGTCCAGGAGATTATTCTAGAAATGAACACCTACTTTTTATAAGAGGTGATTTCTACCCCTTTAACACTTGAAAAAGTTCAGCAGCAACTGCTGGGATGCTGTTCCTGATCTCTGCATATCTCTTGGCAATTGACAGATGTCAACTTGATAAATCAGGCTTACATGTCGAAAGTACAAGGGAGAACGGAAAGAGGAAATAGGAGGGGCAAAGGGATAAAATGAGAACAGATTGATGGCTAAAATAAAAAAGGGACTTTCATGCATATTAACATAAAGGCTTGTTATGGGACCCATGGGACCAAATAGGGACGAAAATAAATGTATTGGTGGAGGCAAAAGGCCTGTGTCAATGTTTGCCAAGGAAGAGAACTTTTCCAAAGATGCAGTAAATAAGTTTGCTATGTTACTGAATGAGATAAAACATAAAAGGATGTATGAGGAAGGCAGGCTGAATTAAAGATGGACACAGCATCCAGTCCAGGTGAGATGCATCCTAGCTGAGGGATGTAAGGTTGAAATTGCAGGGATGTTGACAATCGTATTCCAATCCATTTCGGATACAGGGGGTAATGACAGAGAATTGGAGGACTGAAATGCTACCCCCTTGCTCAGGAGTGAGGCTGTCAACTAGTCACTGAAACATTAAGGGAAAATCTGACCAACATCTTTCTTGTCATAAGAAGTCTCATTTTTCATTCTCACTACTTTCTTAAACTTCTTGCCATTGACTATTTTGTACAGGCACTGTGAAAATTTAACCCTAAATGAATGTAGGTGATTTTTCTTGAATGGTACACGGTTTCGAGTACAATCAGGCCAATTCTTATCCTTAACTTTATTTTGCTTTCTTAAGTTGTGATAAACAAATGCCCTGTTGGAATTAGGCAGCCAAAATTACCAAAACAAAATTTGAAATGTGGCTTCACAAAAATTAGAATAATATGTTCAGCCTACAGACAACGCTGAGCATTTTTGAAGGAATACTAAGAGACCAAACACAAGTCTTTGGCCATAATTGACATTCTCTGCGCAAGCACAGGAATTTCAAGGACTACAGCCTGATTTTTCCTTGCTGCAGAATTAAAAGAAGTGTACATTGAATAGTGATGAAGCTGCATCTGTTGAAATATTGTATAGCTTGCTGAACGAGAACTGTGGAAAAGATGCACTAATGATGAACTGGTCTGCTCAGCAGTTCAAATCACCTTTCTTTTGGAAAGCAGTCTCCAAAGGAGATAGTGATAATTGAGAATGCCACTAGCACCTTGCAATATTCAAAGAAGCAGATGAATAAAAGGCATCTGAAAATTTTAGAAACTAAAGTTATTCAATTTTCCCTATCGTGCGCTTGTGCATATAAGCGCCCAAAAATGTTTCCATTCAAACTGTTCCACAGATAGTAGGAACTGCAGGTGCTGGAGAATCTGAGGTAACAAGGTGTAGAGCTGGATGAACACAGCAGGCCAAGCTGCATCAGAGGAGCAGGAAAGCTGATGTTTTGGGCCTAGACCCTCTCTCCATTCAAACTGTAATTGATTGCCTACAACTGCATGCAAATTATTCAAGTAAAAGAATGTTGGTACAAGAGTTTAACATTTGGGAGTCATCTGATACTGTGTATAAGGTCTTTGAAGATCTGCTAGTGACCAAGGTGGAGCTCCCCTATACCTGTTAATTCTGCTCTTTGCAATTGGAATCCACCTACAGCATGGCTTTGCTGTAGAATTCTACAGCCGTAGCAAAAATTTCAGGAACAAAATGTCTTCTGCTCAAGGGAATATCTCACTATAGACTGCAGCACATCTGAATGCTTATGCCTGCTGAGACACACATAGCATCACTTTCAGCCTATTTCTTAACTGCCAGAACATGTACCAGAAAGTGAGCAGGATGAGACAATGAACACAGCAACAGACATGCAGCAACCATTTTAAACATTGTCTCAAGGCCAGCACAAAGAAATACAGGGACAGCTTAATCCAAAATGACTTGAACCTCAACTACTCTAACAAGGAAATGGATAACAAAAGCACAAGGATATACATGAGGGTGCATAAATCACATGCTGTCAAACACTCCAATAAACATACATTTTAAATTTATAGCCTGAGATATGTTTTATCATCAATCTATCTAGACAGTTTATTTTTAACTTTGCAGAGAAGAAATCTGAAAATTTCCGCCCATGGTAGTTGCTGTAGTGTGGAGGACAATATTGATGAAAGAGTTTGCAGGCTTTGCATTGTGTACCTATGCAAACAACATAGTTTTAGAGTTGGCTCTAGGAGTTAGGTGAATATGGCTTCTTTGAATGCGTGTGACATCTAAAGGGTCATTCCAGTGTCTCCTACCTGTCCTGGCATGTGATCATCTCTCCTCCTTCATTTCTTTCTAGTCTATGATGGAAATGTTATGTAGCATATAGCTTCCACCAATTACATTGAATAATCTAATAGGACTACACTACAAGATGATTGTGACATAGCCAGACATTTAAAGCTCAGTTTAAAGCATCAATATTTGCTTTTACTATCACATGATTTTGGCCATATCGGAACTGAGTTTATGCTCTGTTTTTGAATCTTGCAAGTGTTATTAACCAGGGCTGCAGAGGTCAATGTTAACATCTTTGGAAATATTCTTCCAATCAGTCTTCTTCAAATATGCCAATGAGAAGACTCTAGATTGATATCTAACTTAACAGAGTTCGGGCTTGCTAATTTAGAAAAACTTATGGAGTTTTGATTGAAGTCCTGAGTATAGGAATTGGGAAGTCATGTTGAGATTGTACAGGACATTGGTGAAGCCTCTTCTGGAGTATCGTGTCCAGTTTTGGTCGTCCAGTTATAGGAAGAATATTATTAAGCTGAGAGAGTTTAGAAGAGATTTACAGGACGTTGCCAGGTATGAGTTATAAACAAAGGCTGGATAGGCTGGGACTTTTTTCACTGGGACATAGGAGGTTGAGAGATGCCTGATTGAAGTTTATATAATCATGATGGGTATTGATTGGGTTACTGGTAGGTGTATTTTCCCTAGGATGGAGGATGTCAAGACTAGGGAATACTTTTTTAAAGTGAGAGGAGAGAATTTTTTGAGGGGCAAGTTTTTTAGACAGAGGGTGGTTCACATGTGGAATGAACTTCCTGAGGAAGTGGTGGATGTGGGCACAATTACAATGTTTAAAAGACATTTGGATACGTACATGAATGGGAAAGGTTTGGAGGGATATGGGCCAAGAGCAGGCAGGTGGGAATAGTTTACTTCAGGATTATGTTTGGCAAGGACTGATTGGACCGAAGGGTCTTTTTCTGTGTTGTATAACTCTATGACTCTATGAAAGAATTAGACTTCATCTAAGCTGATAGACTATTCAAATTGAACAGGTTTTGGGAGTATTAGGGACATAAGTATATGTAAGCATAGAAATTGTAGTTCAGTGGTAGTGTTCATAGCTTTGAGCTAAGAGACCTGGGTTCATATCCCATCTGCTCCAGAGATGTGAAATGACATCTCTGAACAGGTAGATTAGAAAATATCTCAAACTAGTTTCAGTTGATGGGAAAATAAGTGTTTGGCCTCTGGAGTAAGCTGTCACGCAATGCTGGGATTACAGCATTGTGAGCCACTGTTTACCCCACACTTTTCATATGTTTGCAATATAAGAAACCCAGGGCCTAAAATTACCACTTGGCAAATCAGATGTAGTCCATCCAGAGTTAATGTATCTTTATTTTTATCATGAATTTCCCTACCACACTTTAGGAAACATTAGTTTTCTTTCCAGTCTCTCTGGCAGAGCAATGAATATCTCTATAAACCTCAATATCACTTCTGACTAGAATATAGAGCAGCTACTTTTTAAAAATGTTGCTTTACTGACCATGGATCGATTAGTTTCCATGGAGATTTGTCTCAAATATTCATCAACATGCATTTAAACATTTTTGTTACTCAAATAAAGAATACAGTTCTATTTTGTTATAAAATGCAGTATTATTGATGATTTTGTTTTTTTTTCAAATAGGTAGCAATAAGTTGCTGGGAGACTTTCTGGTCCTGGGCGGTGCCGCACTTTATGGAGTTTCTAATGTTTGTGAAGAATTTGTTGTGAAAAACTTTAGCCGTGAGGAGTTCCTCGGAATGCTTGGCTTATTTGCAACCTTCTTTAGTGGTATACAGTTGTAAGGAATGGCATTGTTTTTCTATATTGTGTCTAATATTAACTGTGTTTTAATGTTATTGGTACAACAGGAAGCTGAGTTAATTGGCACAATTTTAGTTCATGTTTAGCTCCTTTTCAATCAATATTTTCCATGTAGAACACTAAAAATACCTCCCATGACATTATTTGACTAGCAACAGATGAAATGAAAAGAAAAATTATTAATTAATTAAAAATGTATTTTGATTTGACTGTAGGATGTCATAATCTTAAGACTAAATTATTCCTGTAGTGTCCAACATTTGTTTATCATTTTTCATAGAATCCCTACAGTGTGGGAACAGGCCATTCAGCCTATTGAGTGCACACCCCCCTCCAAAAACTATCCCACTCCCCCCTACTCCAACCCTGTAATCCCACATTAACCATGGCTAATCCACCTAGCCTGCACATTCATGGACACTATGGGCAATTTAGCATGGCCGATCCACTTAACCTGCACATCTTTGGACTGTGGGAAGAAACTGGAGCACCCAGAGGAAACCCACACAGGCACAGGGAGAACACACAAACTCCACACAGACAGTCACTCGAGGGTGAGAATTGAATCCTTGGTCCCTGGTGTTGTAAGGCAGCAGTGCTAACCACTGAACCATCATGCTGCCCAATTTATCATTAAGGTAAAGCTTGTTTCCTCAGGAGAATTAGGGGATCTTGTAATGTACAACAAGTTATGAATCACTGTCAAGCAAACTGCCCATGTGTCAGGCTGAGCCCAAATAAATTTATTTCAATTCAAGCAAGTTTTTTTAATAATTCAGAAGTGTCCTGGTCAAGAACTACTCTTAGGGAACAACTTAAAATCTAACTTTTAGTTTTAAGTTAAACTGAAAAATAAGCCTAACTCAATATTGTTGATTGAGCTACTAATAACATAATTAAATTGGAGAGGGTGCATAAAAGATTTATAAGGAGAGGCTGGACAGGCTGGGAGTCCTTTGCTGGAATGTAGGAGGTTGAGGGGTGACCTTATAGAGGTTTATAAAATTGTGAGGGGCATAGATAAGGTGAAACCTGGAGGGCGTAGTTTTAAGGTGAGAGGGGAAAATTTAATTTGCACCTGAGGAGCAACTTTTTCATACAGAGGGTGGTTCATATATGAAATGAACTGCCAGAAGAAGTGGTAGATGCAGGTGCAGTTACAACATTTAAAAGACATTTGGACAAGTACATGAATAGGAAAGGTTTAGAGGAATATGGGCCAAACACTGGCAAAAGGGATTAGTTTAGTTTGGGAAACCTGGTCAGCATGGACAAGTTGGACTGAAGGCTCTGTTTCCATGCTGTATGGCTGAATGACACTATGAGTTGCTCATGTTGATTGTGAATGCCACTCTTACTATCACCTTCATTGTGACAGCTCAGCCTAAACAATGAAAATATACAAGTATTATTACAATATTTCAATATGCTTGTAATTTACTTGTGTTGCCACATAACAGCCAGTGAAATATCAGGCATATATTGAGCAATGGAGAACAATATGAGTGATTAAGACCATAAATCACAACAGAGAATCTCTTAACTAATTTATACCTTTACATTTAATGTTAAATATAATTTAATTGGGAGTGGAATTCATTCAGGTTGATTCTGCTGAGTTAGGTTTGGGTTATTTAATGGTGTAATTGAAAAATATTCTGAATGATGTAGGTGATTGAGTAACCAATGTATGTGATGTCAGACATGGAGTTATATGGCATTACTATTTTCGTTTAAAGAATAAAAATCAATATTTTAAAAAGCATATGAGAGGGAAAAGAGGCTGAAATAAAAAGATTGTTTTGTGAAAAAATGATGAATGACTTGTATGCTTAATATTTATTATTTTTAGATCATGTTTTTCATTTTCTTATGTTATAGAAGTATTCTGGAACGTAATGCAATTGCAAACATTAATTGGAGCTGGCAAGTCGGTAAGCATCTATTCAACAACAACAACTTTATGTTGTTCCCTTAACATAGCCAAATGTCTCAAGGCATTTAGCAAAATATTTTTTTTCACATTCATTTACAGAAGGAGATATCAGATAGATGACCAAGTGTTTGGTCAAAGACTTACATTTTAAGAAGGATCCTAAAATTAGAAGACTCGGGAGGGAAGTCTGGAGCTTAAAGCTGTTGAAAGTAAAATTGGAGTGATTAAAATTGTAAATGCGCAATTAAAGTTGGAGGTGATTTTCATAGATGGGAAGGGGAGATGCCATGGAGGAATTTGAAAACGAAGACAGCGATTTTAAAATGAGACTTGGCATGAGTTAAGACTCAGGTAGTTGATATTTGGATGATCACAAGTTTAAGCAGATGCATCAGGCATCAAAGTTGAACAGTGTTGCAGAGGCAAAAATAAGCAGTCTGGGTGATATGTGGGTCAGAGGCTCATCTTATGGTCAAATACCCTAGCAAGGTTGTAAAAGGTCTGTCTTAGCTTCAGACAATTACATTGAATGGAAACAGTGATCAGTGACCAAAGGACGATGAGCAAAGACAATTGCTTTGGCGTTTCCAATAATTAATTGGAGGAAATTTCTGTTCATCCAGATGGTAGTTAAACAGTGTGACATATCAGAGACAGTGGAGGATTTGAGAGAGGTTGGAATGAGGTATTACTGGGCATCACCAGTATGCACATGATGTTGTGTTTTCAGATGATATGAGCAACAAACAACATATAGGTCTGTAGGTAGCCTTCAAATACTTCACACTAGAGGAGATAATTGAAGCTTAGCCAATGAGTTTCTGCAGGTTATTTGACAACAAAAAGCATCAGAGCTCTTGATGTTTGTCCTCACCGATGAGTAGCACAAAAGTTAAAGGAGACCTCTACTCTACATTTAATTTTCGGCTTCAATAGTTTTCTCACCAAGAAGAGCTTTTGCCCTGAGTTAAGAGTGTGTCCCTGCCAAGAGATCATTGTGGCTCCAAGAATTGTTCGTTTTGAGGCTTTTTTCAGTGCTTGAGCTGGTTTCCTTGAGTTCTTGGAGCAGTAATTATGGTTTTTATAAGGTTTAGCTTTGTTTTTAGAACTTTTAAACAAAAATCAAAAATAATGATACTTTAAAACTGGAGGAAAGAGAGAGAGAAAGAGTCTCGGGAGAAACCACGTGAGAGGATGGCTGTAGCGTTCATCAAAAAACCAAGCAGTGAACTTTCACAGTTGACTGACTTGAAAGTACAGCATCTCTGGGATTTAGAAGTCGGTCCAAGAAAGACAAACAGTGAAATGTCACAGCTGACCTTGGTGAGACCTTATTATTGGAGCTAATGACAGCTAGGAGTGTCAGCAGTTAAGTGTTTGTTTTAAAGACATATAGAACTTATAAATCTCAAACTTTTTTTTCATAAGTCTATAATAGGGAGTAGGGTAAAGGTTTTATTTTTATGTTTTACTGAGATCTGTCTTGATTAATTTTTAAAAATATAAAACATAGGTAGTAAGTTATACTGGAGCATTGTTTTTAGAGCAGTAAGACTCTGCTATTTTCTGGGTTTGTAGATTAAGGTGCAGAGATGTCCTTTAGTAAAACAATGTGCTCTTCCTGTCTGATGTGGGAGATTAGGGAGAATTTCAATGTTCCTGCTGTTTACGTCTGCAGGAAGTGTGTTTGGGTGCGAATCCTATTGGATTGCATGGGTCGGTTGGAGCAGCAGTTAGAGGCAATGAGGAATTTACGGGAGCTAGGAGGTGTGATAGATGACAGTTTCAGGAAGGTAGAAAAACCGCAAATACAGTCAGGTAGATGGTTTACCTTTAGGAAAAAGTAGGAGAGGTAGGCAGGTAGTGCAGGAGTATCCTGTGGCTATCCCCCTCTCAAACAGATATGCTGTTTTAGAAAATTTAGGGGATGATGGGCTTACAGGGAAATATAGCACTGGCAGCCAAGTTTCTGGTTCTGAGACTGGCTCTACTGTAATGAGGGGTATGACAGGTTCCAAGCGATCAATGGTGGTAGGGAACTCTCTAGTCAGGGACACAGATAGATATTTCTGACATCATATAACGTGACATCAGGATGGTGTGTTGCCTCCCTAGTGCCATGGTCAAGGATGTCTCAGAAAAGCAGCAGAATATTCTCAAAAGGGGAGAGTGACCAACAGAAGGTCATTGTACATGTTGGTACCAATGACACAGGAAGAGAAAGGACAAGGTTCTGAAGAGACAATGTAGGAAATTAGGCAGGATGTTATAAACTAGGTCCTCAAAGGTAGTAAAATCTGGATTCTCCCAGTGTCACATGCTAGTGAGAGTAGGAATAGGTGGATTGAGCAGATGAATGCATGGCTGAGGAGCTAGTGCAGGGGGCAGAGATTGGCATTTTTGGATCATTGGAATCTCTTCTGGATTAGAAGTGACCTGTATAAGGAGGACGGGTTGTGCCGGAATTGGAAGGGGATCAACATCCTGGTGGGGAGATTTGCTAGTGCTACTTGGGAGGCTTTAAACTGGTAAGTGGGGATCCAAAGAGATAGTGACAAAAGAGATTAGCCTGAGGCTGGTACGGTCGAGAACAGGAACAAGTCAAATAGTCAAGGCAGGCAAAAGCAAGGCAGAGAATGAGGTAAGGCTGATCAATTAAATTGCATTTATTTCAATGCTGGAGGCCTGACATATAAGGCAGAACTCAGGGTGTGGTTGGGAGAATGGGATAATCATAGCTATTACAGAAACATGGCTCAGGGAAGAGAAGGACTGGCAGTTTGATGTTGCAAGATGTAGATGCCATAGGAAGGGTAGAAAGGAGGGGGGCAAGAGAGGAGGGGGAGTGGTGTTTTTGGTTGGGGATAACATTATGGCTGTACTTATGGAGGATATTCCTGGGAAATTTCCAGTGAAGTTATTTGGGAGGAACTGAGAAATAAGAAAGGGATGGTCACTTTATTGGGATTGTACTATAAGCCCCCCAGTAGTCAGTGGGATACTGAGAAAAAAATTTCTAAGGAGATCTCAGATGTTTGTTAGATTGATAGATTTGTAGTGGTAGGGGATTTTAACTTACCAAATATAAGTCTGGGAATACCATAGTGTTAAGGGCTAGGATGGCGAGGAATTTTTTAATTATGTACAAAAATATTTTCTTATTCAGAATGTGGATGTACCGACTTGAGAAGGTGCAATACCTGAACTTCTTTTGGGAAATAAGGCAGGTATCAGTGGGGGAGCACTTTGGGGCAAGTGAACATAATTATATTAGTTTTAAAATAGTGATGGAAAAGGATAGACCTGATCTAAAAGTTAAAGTTCTAAATTGGAGTAAGGCCAATTTTGATGGTATTAGGCAATAACTTTCAAAAGTTGATTGGGAGGCTATTCGCAGGTAAAGAGATGATTGGAAAATTGGGGGCCTTTAAAATGAGATAACAAGAGTCCAGAGACAGTATGTTCCTGTTAGTGTGAAGGGCAAGGCTGGTAGGTGAGGGGAATGCTGAATGACTAGAGAAATTGAGGCTCTGGTCAAGGAAAAGAAGGAGACATATGGCAGGTATGGACAGCAGAGTTCAAGTGAATTCCTTGAGGGCTTTAAAGCCAAGAGGGAAATCAGGAGGGCACAAAAGGGATATGAGATAGCTTTGGCAATTATGGTTAAGGAGAATCCAAAGAGTTTCTACAAAAATGCAAAAGAGTAACAAGGGAGAGAATAGGGTCCCTTAAAGATCAACAAGGCCGTCTATGTTTGGAACTGCAAGAAATTATCAGATACTAAACAAGTATTTCACATCAGTATTTACTGTGGAGAAGCATATGGAAGCTGGAGAACTTGGAAAAGCAAATACAGTAGTAATATCTTGGATGGTGTTGCTATGACACAGGAAGTGGTGCTGAACGTCTTAAAACGTGTAAAGGTGGATAAATCCCTGGGACCTGATCAGGTGTGTCCTAGAACTTTGTGGGAAGCTAGGCAAGTGATTGCTGGGTCCCTTGCTGAGATATTTGTGTCATCGATAGCCACAAGTGTGGTGTTGGAAGACTGGAAGGTGGCTAATGTGGTGCCATTATTAAAGAAAGATGGTAAGGAAAAGCCAGTGAACTCTAGACCGGTAAGCCTGACATCAGTGGTTGGGAATTTGTTGCAGGGGATTCTAAGGGACAAGATTTACATGTATTTGGAAAGGCAAGGACCTATTGGGGATAGTGGACATAGCTTTGTGAGTAGGAAATCGTGTCTCACTAACTTGATTGAATTTTTTGAAGAAGTCACAAGAAGATTGATGAAAGCAAAATGGTGGATTTTTTCTGTATGGCCTTCAGCAAGGCATTCAACAAGGCTCTGCATTGTAAACTGGCTAGCGAGATTAGATCCCATGGGATCCGAGGAGACCTAGCCATTTGGAAAGAGAACTGGCTTGAAGGTAGAAGACAGAGGGTGGTGGTGGAGGGTTGTTTTTCAGACTGGAGGCCTGTGACCAACGGTGTGCTGTAAGGGTCAATGCTGGTTCCACTATTTTTTGTCATTTACATCAATGATTTGGATGTGAATATTGGAGGAATAGTTAGTAAGTTTGCAGATGACATCAAAATTAGTGAATAGTGGACAGTGAAGAAGATTATCTCAGAGTACGAAGGACCTTGATGAGACGGGCCAATGGGCTGAGGATTGGCAGATGGAGTTTAATTTAGATAAATGTGAGGTGTTGCATTTTGGTAAAGCAAATCAGGGCAGGACTTATACACTTAATGTTAGGGTCCTGGGGAGTGTTGTCGAACAAAGACACCTTGGGGTGCAGGTTCATAGTTCCTTGAAGGCAGAGTCGCAGGTAGATAGGATAGTGAAGAAGGTATTTGGTATGCTTGCCTTTGTTGGTCAGTGCATTGAGTATAGGATTTGGGAGGTCATGTAGCAGCTGTACAGGACACTGGTTAGGCCACTTTTGGAATACTGCGTGCAGTTCTGGTCTCTCTGCTGTAGAAAGGATATTGTTAAACCTGAAAGGGTCAGCAAAGATTTACAAATATGTTGCCCGGGTTGGAGAGTTTGAGCTATAGGGAGAGGCTGAATAGGCTGGAGCTATTTTCCCTGGAGCATTGGAGGCTGAGGGGTGACCTTATAGAGGTTTATAAAATCATGAGGGGCATAGATTGGGTGAATAGCCAAAGTCTTTGTCCCAGGGTAGAGGAGTCCACAACTCGAGGGCATAGGTTTAAGGTGAGAGGAGAAAGATTTCAAGGGGACCTGAGAGGCAACTTTTTTCATGTGGAGGGTGGTGCATATAAGGAATGAGCTGCCAGAGCAAGTGGTGGAGGCTGGTACAATTACAACATTTCAAAGGCATCTGGATGGGTATATGAATAGGAATGGTTTAGAAGGATATGGGCCAAATGCTGGTAAATAGGACTATATTTATGTAGGATATCTGGTTGGCATGGACAAGTTGGACCAAAGAGTATTTCCCTGCTGTATAACTATGCGACTGTATGACTCTAAATGGAATCAGAGTGCAAAACTTACATTAATACCATCATTAATGCCCATTCCCTGTTATACTTATTACAACAAATTTCAAGAATTTACATAGCTCAGTTTACTGTGAATGTATCCAAATTTTGCATTAAAAGACTGAAACATTAAAATCACTATTTATGAGGAGAAACTAACGCTTGACTCAACAAACAAATTATCTTTTTTCAGGAATACATGGCATTTATAGTTTTATTCTAAACTGTCAAAGCTAGGAAGAAAACACATAGACAAATCAAAATAAGAGCTTCATTCTTTTTACACTAACTGCATGTGGATTGTAAATTTATTTTCATCAACAACTGAGCTTCTTTCCTCTTTAGGAAGATTGGAATGGTTCAAATGTTTTTTTCACAGTGTGATAGTACATTAACAATTGTGGCAGTCACACTTTAAGATCCACTTTAAGAGTTATTTTCCTACCTGCCTCATTTAAAACAAAATATTTTCTCTTTGACAGCTCCAGGTAAAAGGTGAAAGTAAAGTCACCATAGTTCAAGAGGATATTTGGGCTGCTGTTGCATCAGAGAGGCAACTGGTAGTGGTTTAACCTGAGGGTCACCGTACACTGCAAACCAGCTGTCCAGCCGACTGAGCTAACTGACTCAAAGCAGCTCCAGCTCAAGCAGTAGTCACAGTAGCAAATATGATTATAACCATTGATATCATATATTCTAGGAGTCATCAAGTTAAGGATATTTGCCTGCCAAATGATTTGATCGTTCCATCACTGTTCTATTCAGAATTTCCATGGTCATTAGATAGATTGAACAGACAAAATACAGCCTCGAACCATGATTTTCAGTTTGGAGTCCATTCTGTAATATAGACAGGGCTGATTTCATAGGATTAGGCTGTCTCAGTTTATAGGACAGAATTGCTTCTTGAACCAAGTTCAAAATCAAAGAGAAGGCAAGTTCTTCATCATTTTTTCCTATTATCAAATAATTGTCACTTGCCTGCGATAAATATTCTCAAAACAATTGTCACTTACTTCAGGAAAATGACTGCTGCATTTGAGAAATAACATTCAGGTTCCCGATGTGGCACATTCCCTGTTAGCAGAATGTTGACAATTATCAGTTTGATAACCTGTCTCATTAATAACTAACACTCTACATTTATTGATTCACACACTGTTTTGAAAGTGTTTGGCAAGCTGTTTTTGGCTTTGAATAAAGAAACAAAGCCAGTCAGGTTTTTAAAGGAAAAGCTTTATGGACAGAAACTGTAATGTAAAAGATAAGTTGCATTGATTGAATTCATGGAGTCTAACTAGATCTGCCGCCTTTATGGCAAAATGAAACAACTTACCAGTTTGCACCAAAATGTGTCTCACCAAGTGTTTGTTCTGTCTACCTTGGAGAGAACAGAGAGTACCAAATACCTTGGAAGTAAGAATGCATTAGTTGATCTCAATATTTTGTTTGGTGAATCAACAACAGGGCAGACAATAGCTGTAAAATCAATACTAACAACCAAAAGACTGTGTTTCGAATTGGAAAATGTAATACAATGCAGTGGTAAATGTTGTCCATTAGCCTTGACTATTGACAATGAAAATTGGAAATTCATAGCAAGATGTTCTGACCATTAATGGTCTAACATCACATCTAAATTTCTAATATAGTAGTAAAAGTTGGCACTGAAGTATTTTGTACATTTCCAGCAATATTCTAACATAAAGACGAGTAAAATATGCAATAAACTCCAAATTAAACTACCAAACAGCAACGTTTGTACCATTATATAGAATCTGATGGAAATTGTGATGAGTACATAAACTCTCACCAATCTACTGATAAGACAACCAATTGATAGTTGTTTTGAAATGCGAAGAACAATGTAAATAAGGAATGATACCATTCTAAACTTCTTAAATAAGTGCATCTAGTCTGACTACATTTTAAAAACATGATTGACAATTTCATGATCTGAGATAAACATGGTTTGATAAACATATTTTATTCTTTTTGTTCCAGTATTATTGTTCACTGCATTTGCTGTTTGCATGTTTGGATGGTATAGCTTCCTGCCACTTGTGATTAAGATCAGCAGTGCCACCTCAGTCAATCTTGCAATCCTAACTGCAGACCTCTACAGCATCTTCTTTGGGATTTTCTTATTCCATTACAAGGTGAGTAACCATCCAAGAAAAACTGAATTAGTAAATTCAGTCGTAGACATAGGAGCATATTCCAATTTTATTTCATTTTGTATGTTACACATTCCTCTGATTATTTAAGGGCTATTTACTTTCCATGTGAACTGGACTTTCGTGTGAAACAGCTCAGGAGAGAGTCAAAACTGCAGCTTCTGAAAGAGTGAGAGAGAGAGCAGGAGTGGCAGCTTCATAAAGAGTGACAATATGGAGGCAGTAACTTCTCAAACAGTGCTAGAAAGCAGAGACAGCAGCTTCATAAAGGACAGGAGACAGCACAGGGAAAGAGCTTCTGAAACAGCATGAAAGTGCAGGGCTAGCAGCTTCTGAACAGTGCTAGAGAAAGCATGGGAACAGCAGGTTCTGAAAGAGTGGGAGAGAAAGCAGTGTTAGCAGCGTCATAAACAATGTGAGGATAGCAGCTTCTGAAACATTGCTAGAGAGAGAGGAGACTGCAGCTTCAAAAGGAGTGTGAGAAAGAGCAGATATGGCAGCTTCATAAAGAGCGGGAGTGAATGGGGACAATAGCTTCTTAAATACCAAAGGAGAAAGAGAGAGAACGAGAGAGAGGGAGAGAGAGAGGACAGTGACTTCTGAAAAAGTACTGGACAGTGTGGAAAGCAGCTTCTGAAACAGTCCTCGAGAGAAACAGTACAAGACAGCATGGATACAACAGCTTTATAAAGAGCTGGAGAGAGTGTAGACAGCGACTTCAGAAGCAGTGCTGTAGAGAGTCGGACAGGCAGCTTCTTAAAGAAAAGAGTGGACCTGCGCGAGAAAGACTGTGAGAAAGGCAAAAGATAAAAACTGGCAACAGAGATTCCCGCCGACTTGTTTCTAACTTACAAGGCTGCGTATGATAACACAGAAAACAGGTAGGTGATTGGTAGGATTTTTTTGTGTCCAAGGTTAAGGATCTCTCTCCTGGGCTTGTGTGAAACTTGGAGTGGGAAAGGAAAGATCCAGTTGTCATGGTCCACATAGGTAGCAATTACATAAATAGAACTAGGAAAGAGGTTCTAATGAGGGATTACGAGAGGCTCAGGGCTAAATTAATAAGCAGAATCACAAAGTTAGTAATCTCAGGATTGCTACTTGACCCACGTGCAAATCACTGTGAGGTAAATAAGATTAGGGAGGTAAATGCATGGCTGAAGGATTAGTATGGGAGAAATGGGTTCTGATTCAGATTCACTGGGGATTAGCACCAGTACTGGGAAAAGAAAGAGCTGTTCTGTTGGAACAGGCTCCATTTAAACCATGTTGGCACCAGTGTCCTGATGAATCATATAACTAGGGCTGTAGATAGGGCCTTAAAATAATTAATGGAGAGTTCAAATGAAGGGAGTTTTTAAAAATTCAAAAGGAAAAATGAGAGCAGAAATGGAAGGTAGTAAAGAGGTAAATGATAATCAAAGTGTGACAGAAAGTGTAGAAAATTAATGCAGAAGAGTGCAGAAGAAATTAAAATCAGTGCAATAAAGGTAAAAAGTCAAGGTTAAGATTCTTTTTCTGAATGCACAAAGCATTTGTAACAGGATGGATGAGTTGATTGCACAAAAATAAGTAAATGAATATGACTTATTAGCTATTATGGAGATATGGCTGCAGGGTGAGCAAGACTGGGAACTCAGTATTCAAGGATATTTGATGTTCCACAAGAACAGGCATGAAGTAAAAGGAGGTGTGGCAGCTATGTTAATAAACAAAGATATCAGTGCAGTGGTGAGGAGTGATACAGATACAATGGATCATGATAGGGAATCTATTTAGGTTAAAATCCTGGAACTCCCTTGTAATGACTTTGTAGGTCTAACCTACAGTACATGGATTGCAGTGGTTCAAGAAAGCAGCTCACTACCACATTCTCAAGGGTAGTTAGGGATGGATAATAAATGCTGGCCCAGCCAATGACACACATGTCCCATGAGTGGATAAAATTAAATGTGGAAATACGGATTAGAAAGGGAAAGAAATCATGTGTTGGAGTCATCTATTAGGCCCCCTAAGAGTAACCTCACTGTTGGATGAATCAAGAAATAATGAAGATGTGTAAGATGGGCACTACAATTGTCATGGGTGATCTTAATCTGTTTGTTGGCTGACAAATTATGAAGGGTAACATGGAAGTCAAATTTGTAGAATGCATCTTGTTTCTTAGAGCAGCACATTCCAGAACTTACCCAGGAAGGGGCTGTTTAGATCAAGTAATGTGTAATGAAGTAGGATTAATAAGAGATCGCATGGTTAAGGATACTCTAGGAGGTAGCGATAACAATATTGTAGAAGTTTGAATTCAGTTTGAGGGATAGCAACTAGAGTCTCAAACCATTGTCTTCAGCTTAAATAAAGGCAGTTTGACAGGTATGAAGAAAATGTAAAAATAGACTAAAGGGCAAGTCAGTGGATGAAACAGAGTCGCTAAAAGTTGGACCCTTGGAGGACATGACTGAGGAATTAATAACTGGGAACAAGAAAATGGCAGATAACTTAAACCAATATTTTGCTTCAGCCTTCAAAGTGGAGGACACTACAAACATCCTAAAGATAACAGATAAGTAAGATGCTAGGGGGAGAGAAGATCTAATGACAGTCTCTATCACAAACTAACGGCACCAAAGGCAGACAGGTTGTTATGATTCAAGGCACTAACTAAACGACTGTGGTCTTAGGTTAAGACCTTATGCCTCATGAACATCCTAAGGACTTTAAACTGAAAGGAGCTGACAAAGACGGATTCACTTTTGTCTGTTTCAAGTTAAGGAAAATGTGGCAGAGTTGGACTTAACTCTCCTGGAATATGTTAGCTGTTGGTCTTATGTAGATTTTTTTTGTAACATTTAGATTGGAACTTTGCTTTGGTATCTGGGGTGATGGTCTTTTTGGTTAAAAGTGACTGAGAGTTTTATAAGCGTTAAATATTGAGATCAAAGCTTTAATCCAAAACCTGAACATTGGACCGGATTGAACAGAAATTGTGAAATTTGTGCTTCTGGATGATGTGACCAAAGGCTGTATATAAATGATGAAATTGTTGAATCCTTCGTTACAGCCTTAAAGTACATTGGTAATGATTGTCCATTCAAGTGGCAACTTGTTAGTGTTTAACAAGAAAAAATAGCTTTTGACCAGCAGTGGAGGTTGAAAGCATAATCCAATCAGATCATTTGGAAGTTGGGGCTGGATCCTTTGAGAATCAAGATTGTTGAAGAGTACACTTGAATCAAATCAGACATTGCTTTTTCCCATGATCTGGTGCATACAAAGGTGAAGCAGAAGAATTTCAAATGAGTTAATGGTTTCTCAGACTTTGAGTTACAGCTTTGTTCATTTTAGTTTTGCTCTTGAAAGATGAAATGACGATAAAGCTGAAAAAGGGCAGTTTCTAAAACCTTGTTGTTATTTTCCTGAAAGGAATCTTTCAAAGTGGCCATGAAGTCTGTGTGGTTTAATACTGGTTACAATGGTTAAGTTTTGAAATAAGGAAGATGTTCTTTTCTGTGAGTACATGAGCTGGTATTATTTAATAATTGCTAGTACTGTGGAATGGCAAAGTTCAGAAACAAAATAAGAGGAGTTGGAATTATGGCATATTTTAATTGTAATTTAAAGCAGTTATATCGAGGTTCAGTTTCACAGTAACCTCCAAAATATCAATATATGCATCATATCAGGTATTAAAAATCAAAATGTTCCTGGAAGCACATCCACATAATATGCAGACTTTCAGCACTTACACAACAATAAAAGTGATGAAATGTTGTGTATGCCTGCTGCTTGGGCTAAAATAAACCCTTGTCCTGCCATATTCAGCTTAGCTCTTTGACTGTATCTGCATTGGACTATATTCATAGTTTCTTTCAAGCTATCAACTTTAGAGGAACTCCAGCAGCATCCTTTGAAGTCTGTCAGTTTTCATTAACTTTCTAGATTTGCACATCAGTGATATCAAACCTAATTAGTGTCAGCATGGACACTTATTCAAATTCATGCTAATGTTCTTTGCCCAAGAAATGTCAATGATTTTCAGGAAAATGTTCTCCTGTATTGAAGAAAGGTCAATACTATTGTCATAGAGTTCAATAATTTTTAACTGTTCTTCAAATATCTTGAAGCATGAAGGACCTCCTTTAAATGATTTGCAGGAGGAGAGCCAGTATGGTAAAGTAAACAGCCTACCTCCTCCGTCATGTCTGAGTCACTGCCCTACACTTGTGTATAGCACTTTCTCTTCCTTTGTTGTGAATATTTATCAAATTGACCTGCATAGATACAACAACTCCAAATCCAAAGAATTCATGCAGTAGCATTTCTATAAAAAAATCCTCTTGTTCTCATTGGTAATAATAGTTTTAAATTGGTGATTCCTTTTTAATGACTCCCCAGCCAGCAGAAATAGTGCTTCCCTATTCACTCTAATGCCGGACTTCCCAAAATGGGATTGGGACCCTAAGTGGGGTCGTGAGTTGAACTTTTTGCGCTCCTGAGTTCTGAGGCAACCATAGCAGTCATGGAGCTCTGATAAGTTATAGCACATGTGCTCCCATTTTAACAAGCCCCCTAATCTCACAGGCCTCCTACCCCACTCTGAGTTCTTGCTGAGAGGTTACAACAATTTTCAAGCCTCGATATCGAGTAGGAAAGACTTCAGAATACACAGCTCTAACATGATCTTTTCTAATTAAAATAATATTTATGAAACACACTTTTAGCATTCACTCTTAGTATCATTGCAAATTGTCCCTGTATTTCAAGTATTTTTATGACTAGTTTGTCACCCTGGTTTTACCTGTGTTTTGGTTGTATGTGTTCTTTCTATGACAGGTACCCAAAACTGCTCACAATTTTCTAAGTACAGGTTAATTGAGGTGTTGTGCAATTTTATCATTCCTGTATCCTACGCTTCATGTTAAAAGTCAAAATATGATTGGTACTTTAGAAAATAAATTTTTCAATATGTGCTCTCACCTTCATAG